ACCATATTATATAATATATTACATTATATTATACTATCAATATAATAATTTGTGACCGAGCATTGTCAGAGTTGATGATTGATGCATTTAGGATGCTTTGACAGACTGCTTTACTCTTGAGCTCCGGGTCATAGTGATTTTTTTTCTGTATGCTCAACTCCCAGCAGGACCAGACTGGTCATTGTGGGTCTTTAGCCTCCAGAAGACCTGTCAAACGTTAATGGTCCTTTTGGATTGTGTCTGTCTGAAATTGCCACCTTAGACCCTTCTACATGAATTCGTGACGATCAGCAGGGGGCTAGCTCAGATCTTTCGTATTTCTTTAATAAAACTTAGGTCACTTAAGATGATTTACAAAAATTTACAAAGATTTAGTTGATTTTTCCTACAATCTTAGCCTTTCCTACCATGAGCTATATCACCCAGGCTGGGATGGACAGCCGTTTAGATCTTTCTTGAACTCGCCTCTTCAACATTCCTTAATGGGATTTGAGCCCGAATCATGAGTATTCTGGTTACTTTAACCCTGCCAGTGGGTCATTGGGCAAAGGATAGTCTCAAAAGTCTATTGTGGCAAAAAATGTCGCTCTTAAAACCTTGAACGTATGTCAAATTGTGCCTGCTCACATTGTCGAAACCTACCAGGTCCCTCAGAACTGTGCGCGAATTCCCCAGACACTGGCTTTCCGATGGGTCGAATCATCTTCTCTTAAGCTTGCACTGACAGATAGGCAGTCCTTTATGTTCACGTCGGTCGACCTGTCCCCATTCCTATAAGACAACCATTCATCCTCCTGTTTGACGGAGGTACAAAACGCCACTGCATCTCTCACCAGACTCATCAGTAGACCCTTCTTAAAGAGACCAACTTGCTCCTTGATTTTTGGTTGTCTTGTCGCCCCTAACAGTCTCGGAGGCAAGCAGGGAAGCAGCTTCAGCTTGGACGGGCTCAGGACAGCAAAACGAGCAAGCCAACTTGAGAGGCTAACCTGCACTTTTCCCAACTCGTATGCAGGACAGCTACAGCCTCGGAGATTTATGCAACTAATAAGTGCGCAGTATATAACCGTCTGGGAAATTCAATAAAAAGTGGAAAAATCTGCTTTTAGAGAGGGAGCGAGAGAAAGCGAGTTTCTGCAAGAAACGGTGAAAATAATGTCTTTGCCTTCAATCATACAAAGTCAACTGTCCCCTCAACGCATTACTTATAAGCGTTGTTTGAGTAGCTAGTAAACCCTCCAACAGTCAACAACAATTTAACTTTTCATTGTCGAGCTGATTTCCATTTCGAGTGAAAGTGTTTGATGAAGATATTTAAAGGTCGGTTCCACCAGAAGACGATGACAGATTCCTCTTGACCAACTGTCGATTGGCTTGACTGGAACACTCATGTTGACGCTGTTTCCGAGGTGATCTCCTTCGATTCCGGTGAAAACGGGATAAGCTTTTGTCCGTCGTATGACGAACAGCATCGAGAAAGGGGATCATCCTTACAACACAATTCAAGTTAACGAGACGAGAAAACTCACTGGCTCATCTTTAAAAAGATATATATATATATATATACTCTATATCTAACCTCTTTGATGATGTTAGTTTCAGTCATATGTCATTGAAAGCCTAACACGTTTTCACAGGAATCGGAGGAGATTAACCCGGAAACAATAATCTTCCAGTAAAGCCAATCAACAGCTGGTCAAGAGGAATCCGCCGTCGTCTTCTGGTGGAATCGACCTTCGAATCTATTCATCAAAACACTTTCCCTTGAAATGGAAGTAAGCACAACAATTATGAAATAAGAGCTTCTTCTAAGCCCAACTTTTGTTCGCATAACTCGTCGATGCCAACATACGATCGGAGTGACTTGATATTTGTTGTCCTACTTTGCATGGATGGGACTCTTAAACTTTCCTCACCCGAAACCAACAGGGGACTGATGACTTTGGAGTTGTGAATGTGCGTACGCTCATGATAACTCTAGGCATTCGTGCTCAGCCATCCTCCGACGTGTGGCGAGGTGCATTCATCCTGTTTTATCTGATTGATGTCTAATTTTTTGATGATGTTTACCTTCGATGTGAAATTGAATGAAGGCCAGACATCTTCCAATATCACATTCTGTGGCGGGATTGTCGAGGAGGCAAAGTTGTATTTGCTATAACAATTGACTAAATTATTGTCTTTAGCCAAATCGGATGAATACACCTCCTACAATTTTATGGTTGTCTAGAAAATCTACTCATAAACGAAAGAAATCGTCAGCCAGAAATCGCTATTTACGAAATGTCATGAAAGTAATAAACCAACACAGATGACAAGATATAGCATAAGGGGTAATTCGGATTGCAGTTGTTTACCTCTCTTCACTTAGTTTTTCTGTGCATTTTTATGATGTCTGGATCTGACGATTTCTTATGTGACGATACAGGCAAGAGCTTAGTTGCGAAGGGCGCCATGAAGAATTTTTAGCGTGAGCCCGCACTCATAATACTAAGCCAACCCTCCCTCGGTCTATGTTATGTACAATCTTTGTTCAAACGAAACGAAAGATACAATTCCTTTAATTTATTAAAGGATTCTTTTAAACTCAATGTATATTCATATTCAACTGAAATAATATCTCACAATTGCGGACCTTTTTATCGCATGGCATAGGCAACTACTTTGAGAGTAGTCAGTAGTTGGA